ATCCAATACTTACAAAGTGAATAAACTATTGACTTTTTACTGAAAATGTAAGGCGGGGTATTTATAGAAATCTCCGCCAAAAATGCATTCTCCAGGAAGCACACAATAACCTTTTCTGCTTTTGTTTGGTTTTGTCACTATTTTATTTTTAGGTCCATGGAATTTTCCCACAAATCATACCACCACCACGAGAGAAAAATGATTATTGTTGACTCAAAGCTCGGTGAGTTCATCCATTTTAAATCAGTTCTGTATCATATCAGCTCAGCCATCTTTTCACAAGGAACGCTCTCTTTCTGCAAAAACAAAACCCTTAGTTCAATGGAATATTTGAGGCTAATTTGTATTTTTACTAATGAATGACCACATATGCTTTAATTCCAAGGGTATAATTTAACTGAAGATGGTCTTAATTGGATTTGATGACAAACCAAACAAATTTGAGTTTATCAATGGAACATATTAATCAAATTCTAATCCTAAAGAACGTCTTTATAGAGGGGACACCTCACGTCATCATCCGCAAGGGGACGCTCTGGCCGGGCTGTCCTCTCAGCCTTTGGCCCAAGTTCTTCTGAGCACACAAGCCCCTCTGGTAGTTCCATCCCTTCGGCAGGACTCACGCACCCCCAAGTGCCTGAACCCCCGGAGCACACCCAGCTCATTCTAAAGCTCGAACTCCCGCCACTAACACAGTATGTGAACCACAGAAATGTAGGAACAGGGTGACGGAGGAAAGGGACAATGAGCAGGGCAGGGAGGAGGCTGACACGCTGAAGGAGTGAGCTCCACCGGGGAAAGCGTAGGAGGGTCTCAGTAGAAATTTAAAAAGAGGAAGAAGTGCAGTCTGACAATGTGTGTTTCCTGTGCATACACACACACACACACACACACACACACACACATGCACACACACACACGCACACACAAAGCTTAGGAACTATTTCCTGAATGAGAGGGAGTGCAGGAAGCTGAATGAACATCAGATTAACTGGAACAGACAGTTACTGCATGCGCTTTTCTAATCTTTACAGTTCCACTTGGGAAAGGGAAAGGGGAAAGGGGAAAATTTTTATTGCTATGCCCACGATCGCACAGCTAAGAGCCTGAACTCAGGCTTGGCGTCAGGGCCCAGAACTATCTTAATATACTTTGTCACCTCTCGGGACCTGTGGGGACCCCTAAATTCTGGTGCAT